TATAGTGTCAAAAAAAAGATTAATTTTTTTGCAAAAATAATGTAGTAATCACTCTTTTTGGCTGTCAAACTGGGGTTAGAAATTGTTTTGATCAAGATGTTGATTTATTTCATTTTTTAGTTTTTATTGAAATGAAAAAAAAAGAATATTTTGTCAACTAAAAAGGCAAATTAACATATGGTTTTTGTATTACAAAATGGTTTTAAAAACTGTTTTTTATTAGGAAAAAAGAACAAAATTGCATGCATATCGCAACAATGTTGTGAATTCTCATTTTTCTCATTTAAAACCTCATTTAAATGTTCAGTTTTTTTTTTTTTTTTGGCGACTGTGGTTACAAATTTAACAAAGTGACCACACTGTCTGATTTAGACTTATTTATTATTCAGTTTTTAACATACAGGGTGTGTCAGAACTCGCGCCCCAAAGAAAAATTCCAAGTAAAAAAATTCAAAGTAGAACAAAAATGTTTAAAAAATTCTATCTCTCAAAAAATGTTGACATTTGACATTTTTTTTTTGTTTATTTAGTATTACTATGATGATCATATATGTTTTTTCATAAAACAGACAACATTAAATAGAGTTACAATTTAGGATACAGCTTTCTTGTTTCCTCTTCTAATAGCCTTGGAAAATTATTTTTCCAACAGAAATAAATAAGAGTCAAAGTTTTTATAGATTTTTTTTCATGTTCTTAATACAGTTTTAGACAAAATACTTCGGCCGTAAAGTGTGCTTTAGGACTGTTAACCTTATTTTTATCTACTGTCAATCGTAGTTGACTAGCTGTACATATTTTTGATAGAAAGATATAATAGCTGTCATTCATTTTAACGTTAAAGCTTGAATTACATTAAAATGTCAGAAAAGTGACGACCAAAATCTCCAACTGTATAATACTTCTCTGGGGCGCGAGTTCTGGCGCACCCTGTATATAATAAATTCGTATCCCGTGTTGGTACTGATTAATTTATTTTTTTTTTTTTGCAGAGGTTTCGTGCATTTGGGTGCCGGACTTTCGGTAGGTTTCTCTGGTTTGGCGGCCGGTTTCGCTATCGGCATCGTCGGTGATGCCGGTGTGAGAGGTACGGCGCAGCAGCCCCGTCTATTCGTCGGAATGATCCTCATTCTTATTTTTGCTGAAGTCTTGGGTCTTTACGGCCTTATCGTAGCCATCTACCTCTACACAAAATAAGTTTTTTTTAAGTGTAAAACAAAGTAATCATCCTCTAAAACCAGTCCTTCAACCCCTTGAAAATCCAATTTCCCTCCCTATCTTTAAAACAAAACCCAACTTTTCGAAAGTTATCACAATCTTCTGTTTTTAATGTTTATTGTATAAAATGATGTATAAAACCGTGTGGTAAACTTTAATGAATATGACGGACGAGCGATATTGGTGTAAATAGTTTATTGTGATGGAACGCGTATTTGAGAAATGCGGGTTTTGTCATTGTAAATAATTTTGAACTGGGGCTTTTTCAGTGGTGCCAACACTGACTGTCATTTTCATGAAGGGTTACGTCTTGATAAATTAATTATTGTATAGTTATTAGTAGTTTGTTAGGTTATCATTTCATAATATGCGATTTAAGGGTCTACGAACTCTAAGTATTTCAAGTTAAAAAATAAAGTTACAAAAGTAGCACAATTATTTTTAATTTCATGATGTAATACGTAATGTTTGATTTCTCTCCTTGTCGACAAGCCTAGCATCGTCTCCATTTTTTTTTGTTTCTCAATTCGACATATCATCAACTTTGTTAAATTGATTGTTCCTTAGCAGAGTACAGTTCACGATTGCTCATTGTTTCGTTATTTTAATCGTTTGTCTTTCCATATGTTCAGGTGCAGCGTTGTCATGTTATTATTAAAACAAAACCTATAAATTCAACAAAGTTGTTGTAAATAATGGCAACATTATCTATGTATCGATCGATGGTTTGGTGTCCATAGTATATACGTGTTAGCCTTCTTGTAGTTTAGCTTTTCGACGCTAGGGGCGCGACCGTGATCATCATTGTTCAAGAAACAAGCGAATTGCAGCCCCGCCCCTGCGTCTTTAATCTAAGAATGTTAATAGTATTTTTTCCCGTGATGATTTTTAGTACCCAAGCACTTGGCGGCGATTCCACTCGTCACTTAGAACGAACATAACATAGAAACGGCTCTGTTGTATGAAGGGAACAGCAAAATTATGTTGAAAATAAATAATTTGTACATTCCATTACAATTTCTGTTTTGTGAAATTTGTTTTATTTTATTGTCCGCTTTTAGTCTTGTTTATGTACAGTTTTAACGAAATATACTGCTTCGATTTATAAATCAAACTATTTAATCGCAAACCAGTCGATTTGGCCTAAGCTTGTAGATTTTTCAAAAACGAAAGACAAATATATCAATGTAGTCCCGTTATGCTAAACTGATTTTTTCTTTGTGTTTATGAGAATACAAGATATTTTGTTAATGTTTAAATCTGTTTATTTTTTTATACCCGTCCATAGCTTCTTATCGGACCGTATCTTGTAAATAATGGAAACATTTTCGACCTCAAATTCTCATCCAAAGATAAATCTAAAGCACGTTTTTTGACAGTTCAACCAGTCAACCAATGAAATAATTGCCTATGCGCGTCACTCGGCTATCGATTGTCAGTCACTTGTTTCATTTATCAGATAAATGTGTACTTTCGAGAGCAATAGAACAACCAGTCTGTTTTTAAGTTCACAATAGACATTGTAAAAATTTGTTTTTGGAAAAAATAAAGTAACGATTATATGATCGCACGAGTACTGATTTTTATTGCCAAATTAGTAACCAAATTTATTTCATTAAATTAAATTTCAGTGAATAAAAAATAGTTTTTGATTAATTTCAAGTTTCAACTAAGACTAGGTGACTTTTATATTTAAAAAATGTACAAAAAAATCTACACAATTGACTTCAATTTTTAGTGGCTCTTATTTAATTTATTTTTATTACAACTTTGTTATTTTTCTAAAATCCAAATTGAGTAGAAAAAAATGAAAAATTTAGTTCAATAAAAACACTTACATTTTCTTACAAAAGTTTTAAATTAGAAGGCAAAACAGGAAAAGACATATTACTTAAAAACTTTTTATTAATACTAAAAAACTAAAAAAAAATGTTTTATGATAGGAGAGGAGTGAAATTACACTTGACACAGCAAAGGAGTAAACAGAATTTGTATTTTTTCTTACTAAAATAGTTCTTGGTTTAATTGTTATACAGGGTGTTTCACGTAATTTTACGAGGTCTGCGCCTATAAGATGCAACCAATAATACATATTCCGATTCGAACTCGATTACAAATTTTGGAAAATTGGATAATCCTCTCTAGTTTGTTCACCCTTTCAAAAATTACAACGTTTTTAGTTAGTTAGTGATTAAAATAGATAGTTTATGACTATTAATGAAACAGTGATTAGTTTGACTACGTTCATGGGTTTCCAAAAATTAAATAATTAAATGTGTATTTTTTGTATATTTGGGTGCGTACATTAGGCGCAAGCTTCGTAAAGTTAGGTGAAACAGCCTGTAGTAAATATTGACCGAAAAAATCTAAGCTGAGATTGTATTTACGATTCAATATCACAAAGCTCGAAATTAGTTTGAAATTCTAACATTTAAGTAAAAATAAGATGATTTTGAGCTTAATTATTTATTAATAATACCAAAAAACTGACTGTTATCTTTTCAAAAATTATAAGCAATAGACATTATTGTATTATTGGTGGCATATCCTTTGTACAGCCGTTTATTGTGTTTGCTAAAAATAAAAAAAAAATTATTGTAAAACATTAATGGACTTTATTTGCACACTAATTACTAAACTAAATGTTTAAATTATTTTTGTTTTGTATATAATATAATACAATTTATTGCAAGTCAGGCAACCAGTAATACGCACAGTCTTGACCAATCGTTGATAATTAATTAAGAAAAAAACCTAAATTTAAGCTTTTGAGCATCCCAAGCTCAAGAATCGTGTTAAAACCCGTGACCTTGTAATTAATCTTTATCATTATCTTGTTATCAAAATCGTTACATCTTGAACCCTAGTAACATGAATCTGTGCAGTTGGCAACACATTGGTTGCTAAATTTTTGTAGTTAATATGGTGGTCAAAAAGGGGCAGATAATTACAAATTTGTAAAAAGTCATTGTTGAAAGCAGCACCCAAAAACCCAAATTATCTAAAATGGCAGAAGCAGCGGTGGAAGAACGCCCCCCTCAGAAATTCTACTGTCACATGTGCAACGTCCAGTTCGAAAACGCCTCGACTGTGAGTAAATCAATCGGGTTAGGTGTCATTTTTTCCATTCTGTTTCCAGAACTTCACGTGCCCCCATTGCTCCGATGGGTTTATCGAGGAGCTGCAGGAGCTCCCCGAGAGCAGCCACAACCCCACGATAGACATCGACGACGATGACGACAGCAGCGATGTATGTACACAAAGTCGCGAAACCTCGCCTCATTTCTCATTTCAGATGGACTTCAACGAGCTTTTGTTCACTCCGGTCAACATGGAAGACTTCCGGAGTGGCCGGAGTAGGTCCACAGATGGCCATAGGACAGGAAGAAGGTATGCAGTTAATCGCGCCAGGATAGTTCGACCCAGGTTGGATGATTTTAACCACCTCTAGCATGCACTCAAAACCTTACACTCTACGCGAGTCTGACCCAAAAACTACGTTGTGTGATTGTTTCAGGACGCTGACGAGACTAGCTTCATCAAATTTAAGGCAAAATGTTCCATTTGAAAACCTAATACAGGACTTTATTGTGAATTTAGGAGTGGGGTTGAATTGGGGCGCCGCTGGAAATATGCAACTGTTTCTTGGAAATCCGGGAGACTATGCGTGGGGCCGCGAAGGCCTCGATGCGATTGTTACGCAATTGTTGAATCAAATGGATAGCACAGGTGCGTACTTATCTATTATCACGGTTTTTGTTGCAAATTATTTAGGTTATTGGCCATTGACTATTTTTGGCAACAACTTTGGCTCGAAAATAGCATCACTTCCTTATATTGACTCATGATTTCAAAAATAACATTACCAAAAATTCTATTTTCAATTTAGCCACTTTATTGACGGTTTTTGGAAGACAAATTTCTATTTTCTAGTTTGTTTTACGTTGACCAGAATGATAAATAAAGATGTAAAGTTTGTTTTTTTTTTAATGGAAATTACCAACTCAAAATTTTGGTGAAAAAATTGGTAGCAGCTTGTCTCCATAGCCACATATTTTGTTTGCTCTTTGTTTTTATACCTATAAATTTTGTTAAAAAATTATGGTTATGTGTTCAAATTGAGATGTTGTCAAAATTTTGAATTTTATGAATCTTGTGTGCCTCTTTGCTCTTTGAAAGCGCTATAATTGAATACCTGAGGACAGACATCATTACCTAAGGTCAAAATACAGAATTCAGTGCTAATAATTTTGACAAAAATTACAAAAACTTTGAAGAAAAAGGATATATACAGAAAAAAGTTATTTAGCAAAAGATACCAAGTGGGTATTATGATGATTGGCAATAAATTTTGTGTAATTTATTGAAATGAGCTCAAAGTTGATGCATTTTATAAATCCTTCTTCAGCTTTAGTTTCAAAATTGTTACTTTTTCAACTCGTTCCTCAAAAACGATGCACAAGACATTAATTTAATTGCGTTCTTTCCGAGGTTCTTTCTCATTCAWMTTTATTTTGTATTRTTGTCAATTTTTTGCTAAAAATTAAYAATGTTTASCAAYCCTGCATTACAAARTGCGTCTACATTTTAACGGGCCCTTTTTCTAACTTCCTGCTTGCGAACTATTCGTTTCCAAATTTCGAAAAACTGTTAGCAGTACCGAATTTGTTCCTTTTTTGGTGTTTCGTCTCTAAATTTTCTTAGACGATTTTTTGTGTTGACGTTTAATGACATTGTTTTCAAATTAATTAAAAAAACCGGAACTGCCAACTTCCTTTATTAAAATTACCATGAATGAATGTACTAGTGATGCCAACGTTAAGACTGTTTGGCATTTCCATTTAAAAAAAAGACAGACTTTATACTGATTTGCCATTATTTTAAGTACTTTGCTATTTTATCTATTACTAAAACGTGATAGCTTGAACGCTCTCATACCCGTATAAAACGTTGATTTAACCATCCTTGTCACGCGATAGCAATTGTTTATTCCTAGAGCTTGTTGGAAAATTTTGACGAGCTAAAAGTAGAAAACGGCGAAAGGTAGAGATTGAGTAAAAGTAAAAAACAATAATTCATTCATAATTCTTCAAAGTAGAGAGAAAAACAGGCGTAAAAGTGCATAAATTTTAAGTTTAATAAAAAACCTTAACCAAGAGTTCGTTGGATTTCAATTAATCTGACAGTTAGTGAGATTTTGCGTCAATGTACTTCAACCAAAAATAATAGAAAAACGCTTTGTAAAGCAGATAATTTACCTAAAATAAGAATAATAAAAAACGGAAACATTAAAACAAAGAAAAGCAAATCTATTAAAAAAATAAAAACAAGATTTACTTTTTTCATCAAATTTTCTGATAATTTAATGGTTTTTTTTTGCAAAATTAATACAATATAGTATTCATTTTGTTTATTATTATATTTGCGAAGGCAGAACAATTTGATGACAAAACTGATTTGAAAGAAAGTTTTAAAAAAGACAAAGCGACGTTAAAAACATTTAAGATAGAATTTACAAAAAATAAGAAAGAAAAAAAGAAAAATTGGAAACAAGGATGTTAAAAACGAGTAAAAAGAAAGGACAACATAAGAAAAAAATAAAAAATATGGAAAAACGAATATTGCACTTAAAATTAGAAGAACGAAGGACAGAAATATTGGAGAAAGAAAAAAATTATGAAAAAGTATCAAAAATGGATTAAAGTAGTCAAAAAAATCGAAAAAATAGAAAACCTGAAAGTAATATAACTAAACAGGAAGACTAAACGAAACAAGAAAATAGTAAACAGAAAAAACAAAAAAATACAAAAATGTATTGTGAAAATATAAACATTAATTGAATTCTATTTTTCTCTTGGAGTTAATTTCGGTGGCAAACAAGTTGGAAAAATAATTGTTTCTTGAGCATTGATATTTACTATAATTTGAAGAGAATGAAGCAGAATTAAATTCTCCTCCATCTAGTAAAGAAAAAATTGAAGTCTTTCATTTGAAAAAGTTGAGTTGTGGGATTAATATTAAATTTTTGGGTTTGTTAATTATTTTTGCAATTATGAATACACCAAAAGAAAGATCTAACGTTTCTCGTTCATATGCCCAAATATGATTTCAAAAATAAAATTACCAAAAATTCTATTTTCAATTTAGCCACTTTATTGACGGTTTTTGGAAGACAAATTTCATTTTTCTATTTTGTTTTACGTTGACCAGAATGATAAGTTCAAACAACTTAATTGTAATAAAAATGTATACTGATTTGACACTATTTTAAGTACTTTTCTATCACCTATTACTAAAACGTGATAGCTTGAACGCTCTCATACCCATATAAAACGTTAATTTAACCATCTTTGTCACGCGATAGCAATTGTTTATTCCTAGAGATTGTTGGAAAATTTTGACGCGCTAAAAGTAGAAAACGGGGAAAGGTAGAGATTGAGTAAAAGTAAAAAACAATAATTCATTCATAATTCTTCAAAGTAGTAGAGTTTTATAGAGAAAAACAGGCCTAAAAGTGCATAAATTTTAAGTTTAATAAAAAACCTTAACCAAGAGTGCGTTGGATTTCAATCAATCTGACACTTCTGACAGTTGGTGACATTTTGCGTCAATGTGCTTCAACCAAAAATAATAGAAAAACGCTTTGTAAAGCAGACAATTTACCTAAATCAAGAATAATAAAAAACAGAAACATTAAAACAAAGAAAAGCAAATCTATTAAAAAAATAAAAACAAGATTTACTTTTTTCATCAAATTTTCTGATAATTTAATGGTTTTTTTTTGCAAAATTAATACAATATAGTATTCATTTTGTTTATTATTATATTTGCGAAGGCAGAACAATTTGATGACAAAACTGATTTGAAAGAAAGTTTAAAAAAAGACAAAGCGACGTTAAAAACATTTAAGATAGAATTTACAAAAAATAAGAAAGCAAAAAAGAAAAATTGGAAACAAGGATGTTAAAAACGAGTAAAAAGAAAGCACGACATAAGAAAGAATATGGAAAAACGAATATTGGACTTAAAATTAGAAGAATGTAGGACGGAAATATTGGAGAAAGCAGAAAATTATGAAAAAGTATCAAAAATGGATAAAAGTAGTCAAAAAATCGAAAAAACAGAAAACCTGAAAGTAATTTAATATAACAGGAAGACTAAATGAAACTCTCAATACTTTGAATGTGGGGTTTAGTAGGAACACCCGGTATAGCATTATTTACTGGGGATTTTACTCTATTTTATGTTTTTTTTTAAGTTGGAGTTATGATAAATCTTCAATTCACAAGGACCCAAAACCGAAATAATTAATAAATTTTGGGAAATCACCACTTTTTATGGTATACCAACCAAATGGAAATTCATGTGTGCTTTATTCACAGAAAAAACATTTTCTCTTTTTGTTCTGATAGTCATTTCACAAAGGTGTATTTAAAGAATTGTGCAATAAAGTCGAATTTGAATTATACGATTTTGAAATTTTTGAGTATGTAGTTCACTTTTTTGGATTAATTTTGAAAACTGTGATAAAAAATGTATAAAATTAATAACAAAGTATAAATAAATTTATTTTGCAAGTACATAATATCAATGAAATATAAATTTAAAAAAATTTGGTAACGAATTTCAAATTTAAGACAAAATATTCTACCATTTAAAAAAATCACCTATAACTTTTTCTGCAATTTAATGAAAATTATGATTTTATTTTATGAAACAATAAAAAGGAGATGGGAAAATTAAAGTAATTCTCATGATCTAATCGCTTTTGTTTTATGTAGACTAATTTTATAGTTTTCTATAAAAAAAATGGTAGTTATAAAAAATAAATGTTTTTCTTTCTCAGTATACTCAGGATAAAATTTAAAACACCAAGTGAAACTGTCAATGTTGTACCATTTAATAATAGAATTCAGTATTTCCAACTCAAACAGTCATTTTATATTTTAAATCGTGGGATGGAAAATCAAAATTTACAAATTTAAAATTGCTATAATTATTGTTCCGGCCGGTTCAATCGTTGGAGATGCTATACAGAGTGCGCCAAAACTCGCGCCCCAGAGAAAAATTTCAAGTAAGATAAGATACCAGGAACATGAAAAAATTGTTTAAAAAATTCTATCTGTAAAAAATTTTGCCATTTATTTTTTGTCATTTGACATTTTTTTTAATGTTTATTTAATGATAATGATGATCTTGTTTATGTTTTTTTACAATTATTTAATAAAGGTACAAAAATTTTGCCAATAAAAGCCACAAATAACATTGAACAGAGTTACAATTTAGGATACAGCTTCCTTGTTTCCTCTTTTAATAGCCTATAGCAAAAAAACTTGGAAAATTATATTTTTAATAGAAATAAATAGAGTCAAAGTGCAAACTTTAAATCCTCATAACTTATAGATAAATTTTTTTTTAAACATTTTTTCCATGTTCCTGGTATCTTACTTTATACCGCATTTTTCTCTGGGGCACTCTGTATAAAAAGAAATTCTTTTTATTAAAAATTGTTTTAACTGGAACTTACTGTAGGAGTAAATTAACTACACATCATTCTTTTAGCAGACTTTTTCGGATTTTTATTACTGAAATGTCGATGAAATATCATGTGCTAAATTTTGTCAATTTTGATCCTCAATTTTTTAATTTCTGATATTATTTTTTGTACTAATAATTTTGGCATTGATGAGGGTATTATTACAATGTAACAATAAAAAAACTCATCAATAGTACCGTACTATCAAAAAAAAAAAAAAAAAAATAGAGTAGGCGGTGATTAAAGTCCTTCAGATGGCAATCCTGATTTTTGACATCAAATGTCAGCGCAAACTTTTTTCATTTTGAGTAAAATAATGTTCACTTTAGAGTAGAAAATTTTTATTGCTGTATGTACAAGACGAAAACGGTGAATGGTCATTTTCTGTTTGTGTGGAAAATTTCCAGCCAATGTGTTGCCAACTGTAGAATTTAATCGACGCCTACTCTAATTATATATCTATTATAATATGAATGTGAATCGCTCAGTTTTCGGATTTTTTTGTGTAAAAAAAAACCTGATAAGCGCCTTTTGCGTAGGTCCTCCACCGGTTTCGAAAGAAGTAATAGACGCCCTCCCCATCATCAACGTAAAATCCGATCAAGTGGACGCGAAATTGCAGTGTTCTGTTTGTTGGGAAGACTTTGCATTGGGCGAAAATGTTCGACAGTTACCTTGCACGCACATCTACCATGAGCCATGTATACGACCATGGTTGGAATTGCATGGTACTTGTCCCATATGCCGACAGAACCTAATAACAGATGAACAATCCAACAACGATAGTAATCAAGATTCTGGCGGATCGTCAACAAGCGGAGGTTTGTGATATTTTGATAAGAGTTTTTAACTCGTATTTTATTATTTTTCAGGTCAAGATACTTTAAATGCCATTAGGAATATTCTCCAACCTGCCCATAATACATCAAGTAATTTAGAAAATTCCAGACCTACTCATTCTAGATCAGATTTGATGTAATCAATAGAAGTTTTCAATTAGAAATATAACGCTTGCTATAAATTCGTTTACTGACGGTTTATTCATCATGCTTTATACGGAGTGAGTAAAAAGTTTATTTGAGTTGATGAAACAATCATTTTACTCATTCTGAATTGTTAATATAATGAAAAATAAAGTCGTAAGACTGGATAAAGTGTTGTTATTTTGATGCAGTAACTGGATTTTAACAGACTTGTCGAGCGTCTTGTATTGTGTAAATCTAAGCACTTAAGGTTTTGCCCCGCAAGTTATGTTGTCATTATGTATTTATGATTACACTGTTGTGATAATAAAATATCCTTTGAGAATGAATGTTGTTTTTTGACAGTTATATCGAGGGATCAAGATAATTTGTAAAAATCATCTTTTTGATCACGCCATTATACATACCTTGTCATTTTATTTAACGTTTCACAGACATACGTTTTCGGATCCGAGGATGATTCAATTACAAATTATCTTGATCTCTCGATATCAAGTCGTCCAAAATAGTTTCCATAGCTGAGCGCTTGACATGAAGTAAACAAAATTTGCCCAAAATTCTAATGAGTTTTCGCATTCCTTAAAATTTGTGGTGTTTGTGTGTTAAATTCGAAATTTCGCCAAGATGGTAAGTGATTGGGTTGTCTTTGGTTCCACTAATCGAGTCGTGTGTAGAGGGAGTGTATTTCGGTCCATATCGGCCAAGCTGGGGTGCAAATCGGCAACACAACGTGGGAATTATACTGTCTGGAACACGGAATTCAGCCCGATGGCTGTCTCAAAGACCAGAAGGACATCGTCTCGGACAACTGCTACGGGACGTTTTTCTACGAAGTGGAAAATGGCAACATGGTGCCAAGGAGTCTTATGGTTGATTTGGAACCCACCGTTGTCGGTAAATGTCTTAGTTGTAAAATGCTTGCCGGGAACAGAATTTTTCACTAGGTTACAACCAGAGTAATTCCATTCCAAAACGATCACTTTTAAAGCTCATTGTTCCTGATTTTTGTAAATTTGAGATATGTTATAGAACGTGGAAAAATAAGTGACACGTATTTCACCGTTTTTTATTTTTTCAATGTATGTTGAAAAAGCAGGATGTACAAAATTAAGTACTTCGGAGCAAAAAGAATTTTTATCTAAAGAGCAAGTCAAAATATTATTAATAATAGATTTGTATAAGTAGGTCTATTTAATGATACTGATGATCTTGTATATGTTTTTTTTATAATTAACCCTCCAAAAATCCTGAAACACGTATTACTTAATTTTTAATCGAAAGCCTAAATGACATTTTAATACAAATTGTCATCCCTGTTTAACCGCCTAGAGGGTGGAATTTTCAAAAATCCTAAAACAAGTTTTCTTCATTTTTAACCGAAAGCCC